TGTGTTTAGTACACATGGTGTGAGGGATCACGGGGAGAACAGTGTATCACAGAGAAGGGACATTGTGGATCTCTGGCATCTTGCTGCACTGATGGACAGTGACTGCATTGGGGTATGGGTGGGGACTTAATAATATGGTTAAATGTAGTAACCACATTGTTTTTTCATGTGAAACCTTTATAAGAGTGTATATCAATCATACCTTACTAAAAAAAAATTTTAAGTGGCCTACTCCTAGTTCTTATGACAGCATAAAAATGGTTTTAAACAGAAAAGAAATTCCTTAATAAATGCAATTAACACATCTGTCCCCCAACAAAGGAACAGGATAAAAGGCTCCTCACCGCCAGGTCACTGTATATATGGTCACCAAAATACAACACTTTGGATCCTCTCCATCCCGTAAGCTTTAAAAATTCATATAAATTGCCCTGCAATAACAGAGGAAAATAAATATTACTTCCTAGGACAGACAGAGACCTGTAGAACCCATGGCCCAAAATATCTACTTTTTAAAACTTACTAAACTTTTTGCTTTCATAATTTATTTTAAATATCAAAATATGAAAACACCTTCATGTGAAATCTTTTAGACCATTCCTCCAAGTCAAATGTACTTTTCAAAAAGGGTTCATATTGTCTGTATGTCTTTGTAACGGTCTTTTTTTACACTTTACTTAGTGACAATGTCAACAAATATTAGTCTGCCGTGTGACGGTCAGCGACTGAGAAGTACCATGATTCGTTTTATCAATGTACCTTGTTCTCTATTTTATAAGTTCATGACAAACATTTGTGTAGCAAAGTTTTGCTACAAAGTTAATGCTTTAAATTTTGTTTTTAAAACCTGTTTCAGTTGTGAGTTAATTTAGATATAGCACTGTGTAAATATATTGACTTGGGCTTAAATTTTGCCACCAAGTTATAAATAGTCGATTCAACCAGAGTATGCAGAATCATGCCTGACACACAAGTGAGAGTCAAGAAGTGTTAGTTTTTATCATTATAACTGACCAGAGAGCAAAGAAACGAAAAAGATAAATTGGTCACAAGATACCTGCTTGTAAATCTGGCCTTTCTGCAACTTGTGGATTTTATCCCAGAGCAAGACACCTTTCTCATTCACCTTGCCGAAAGGTCTGACAACAGAAATGGGAAACATTATGACACGTGGTAGCAGCCCAGGCTGTCTGCTGTGTGAAATACCACATGATTACTCTCTGGGAACAGAAGGAAACTCCACAAACCTGAAAAAGCCCTAAAACCACAACTCCACCCCCACCCTCCCAGGCCTAGTGCAATACATCCCAAACTGCGAGCCCAGGGTGAAGGTGCTCAGTGGGGAAGAACTCTGGGGCCAGATGAATTTGGAAAACACTGTGCACTACATATAACCCTTACAAAAGTTACTGATGACTCTGAAAAGCCCTCCGGAGAAGAACCTTTCTTAAACCCAGATTCCCTAAATTTAACTCTGCAGAAAATTTGTTTCACCAAAAACCTTCTGGAAATACTGCCTTAGTACCTTTACCCAGCTTTGGACTTGAAATTCAGCTGCTCCAGATATAAAACAAATCAGAGGACCAGGCATACTATTTTATGATAGAAAATGGAAAAATAAGAATAAAGGCCTCATTCCTCATACAAGGAGAGCTAGTCCAAAGGTTGTGGGGTTTGTGTGTCAAGGTAGGACTTATTTGGATTGTTCTTCTGATAACAAAGATATGAAATCACTGCAAAAAATCTGGAAAATGCAGAAAAAAACAAGAAAAGGAAAATCACCCATAATTCCAGTACCCAGGTATAAACACTTAATATTTCAGTTGATGCCTTCAGGTCTTTATATCTGTTATCTTTCTCTTTTTTATGAACATAAAATGATCATTTGTGTATATTAATTTACCTTTTTTTACCTCTTATGTTGTGAGCAATTTCCAATGTGGTAACTAACATATTCTTCATACATCATTTTTCACAGTCATAAAACATGCTCACTGCTTGTTTATATCAAAATACATCCTTTTTCATGGCTGTATAATATCCCCTCACGTGGATTTCATTTAAATGGTTTCTGACCTTCACCATCATAGTAACAAAGGGATGAGTATAGGTGGAGGATTTTTCAGCTCTTATTCCAGGCATCCAGAACAAGGGCAAAACAAACCCATGCAATGAGGGAGAGAGCAGTGCTTGGCACCCCCCCACAGAAAGTCGTTCGCGACACTGTTCTGCCACTGTGCATTAATGCAACAAGCAGAGGCGAAAGGAGAGATGAGGTCCTTCTCCTGACCACACCCCAGAATCTAATAAGAAAATTCAGGAGAGCATTTTATCAGTGACAGAGCAGCAAGGCAGTGTTTACAGCTGTTTCCGATCCACACTTTAGTTTTCCCCTCATTCTCCTGAATTCTCAGGCTGCATATGCTTCTTGATTTTGCCTCTTCTCTCAGGAGTCACTGCAACAGTCGGAAAACTGGGATTTAATCCGTTCAAAACCTAACTACAGAGCACCACGTATGATACTTTACAGGGTGGGAGGCTGCCTGGTTACCTACTGCACAGAATAAATGTGGGTAAAAAGGTATTTCAGAAATAGGCCATTATTACATGAAAATGAGTTATTTTTATAACCTTCGTGCAGTAACTCACAACACTACTGGCTTTTGGGGGAGACAACTCTCGGTGAACAGGACTGTTGCACATGTTAAGACATTTTAGAATCCCGGACCCCACCCACTAAATGCTGAGAGCACATGCTAGTCAGCATCACAACCCAAAATTGCCCCACTCCTCTATTTCCCAGGGCTACTGTTTCAGAAAGACACTCTAAGTCCTGGTAGGGAGCATTTCTCTACTTGCTACATGGGATGTTCCCCCTTCATGAATCACTTTATAAAAGCAATTAGATCTTCAAAAAACAAGAGTTGGTAGAGATTTCCTCCACTTGATGCAAAACCTTTGTTGCAGAGACGTTTTGCAAAATCCAGCTGCAATTTTAAATGCATCATTTTAGAGCTCGTATTTAAAGAGATATTGACCAGGTAGCTTACTGTTGCTGTTGTTTTGTTATGCTTCCCACTGTGTCTGCAGCAACACATCTAACTTACTATGAGATATTAAGTTTGGATTTTTCATTGTTGTCAATCATTTCTTAAAGCCTGACTTACAGGACTGAAGTACCCCAAGCTGAACTGAGAACCATTTCAGTAAGTGGAAGCTGTGTACTAATCTCACCTTCCTTGCAATCACCTTCTAGAAGAGTTAAAAGTCAAAAGCTATCATGTCAGATGCTTGTGATTTTCCAACTGGATTTCACCAGACACACTCCATAAATATGTTTTTTACTTGAAGTATAGTTAATATATAATAATATGTTAGTTTCAAGTATACAACATAGTGATTTGACAGTTACCTACATTATTAAATGCTCACCCCAACTAGTGTAGATACTGTTAACATAGACAGATGTTACAAAAAGATTGACTATTCTTTATGCTATATTTTCATCCCCATGAATAATTTATATTGATGGAGATTTTGTGCCTCTTTCTCCCCTTCACCTATTTCACCAAGACATACTACATAAGTATTCACAGTAGCAAATGAAGAAACCTACCTCCCTAGAATGACAGACACTCACCTCCGCTTATCATTAAAGAAGTTTGGCTTCTCGGCCTGAACGATGACCACATCAAACAGGTCCCTCCAGTCTTTTCCAACAATATACCTCATCCCTTTGTCCCTAGAACAACATGTCAGCCAGGTTAACCCTAACGATACAGGAATTAACAATTTTTTCAATTTTTGGTTTTCAAACTTGCAGCTGTTAAATCAATGCATTACAAGAAGTGAGCCAGAGGCCAGCCAGGAAACGCAAACCAACTCACACAAAACTACTGGGGCTGTTGGTGATGAGAAACATCTTCTTTCCATGATCAGCCAGCTTGGCCAACACCGCACGGGTCTGCTCAGCATAGCAGATGTACTTTTCTAGGGGCAAGAGGAAAAGGTACACAGAGATTCAGCACAAAGTCAGTTGATCTGCAAGTGCTAACAGGACACTATGGGGCTGGCACTGGCCAGGGCACTTGGGCAAGAAAAGTCTTGAGGAAGCTTGGTTCAGGGTGACCTATGCATGCCTGGTGCATCTGTAACCAAGACCCTCAGTCTAGGTGGGAAAAACTAAATGGCTGCAGCTGCCAGCAACTCTCCTTTGGCGTCAGTCAGGATTATGTCAAGTTCTGAGACAAAGGGGAGGGAGCTGTCTGAGATGCAAGGATACATCAGAAGGGGGTACTGCAATCCCAGCTCAGCACCAGGAATGAAGGTAAAATGCCCATGTGGTTCACAGCAAAGGGAAAGACTGAAACTACCTCCACCACAGTGCCAAATACCTACCAATATCTGCCTCGATTGCCCTATACATGATTCCTTTGATGTGCACGTCTCGAATTGAATCCTGTCAAAAGATACATTTTTAGTCAGCTATCAACTATATATTTACCAGAAAGTATGCCTGAGATAGCCTGAGTAACAGTACATGGACAACAGCATTCGTGATGATGTCTGTCTTTAGAAGCCTGGCAATGCATGCACTAAATGAGACCTAAATTCTGCCCCTTTTATCATAGGCGGCCCCTGGGGGAAAACTTAAGTGTCCATGGTGATGGGGGCATTTTCAATGCAATTTTGAAAAGGGTCATTCAGAGGAGGTAATTTATGTCAACAATCCTGAATGAAGCTCCATGTGACAAGCAGTAATATACATGCAGTATTGTGCACAAATAATCCAAGTCGTCTGGACAAAGGTAATGATTGCTCTTTCCCTCTGCCCCCTTCCCCAGGCCCCAAGAGCTGGTTCTGTGATCTAGAAAGAAGACAAGACCAATGACAGGATCCTCCTCTCTTCAGTGCCACCAAAGAGGGGAGGGACTGCAGCGTGAGAAGGGAATACCACCTGTGAGTGTGAAGTCACCCCTCCCTACGTACAGGCTGGACCCCTCTGGCTAGGTGCACTGGCCCTGGCCTTTGGTCAGAAAGGAGGAGAAATCCAGATAACAATATAAGCACCCTCTTCTTTTAGCAACAATTCCCCTAACTTAACATCTTCCTTACAACTTTCAGGATTAAACCACGAATAAAAGAGCTCCCAGGCAAAGAACTATTTCAAACACCCAGCCTACAAAGAGGGCTAACGATTCTGTTACTTCTGCTGAAAAGCTCAAAGGGATGTGTGGCAACATAATATCTCTCTGCTGACACGACCTTGACATCTTTGTACAGATGGACAGGCTCATAGTCAATGTTGTTCTTCAGAAAGTACTCGTTCACACAGGACAGGAGGGTCATCTCAGGCAGGGAGAAGATGTCCATGAACTGTTTCATGGTGTTTCCGTGGGAACTCTGCAGGCAGGGAGGAAAACGTCAGAAACGGAGGCCAACACCACAGCAGAGCTAGACTCTACCTTTACCCAGAAGGATTCTGGTTGGCAACATCTGGATTGCTCTCCACAAGAAAAGGGAAAGTCTAGTAATAAAGTAAACATGTTCACCTTGTTTGTTGCCACTCACAGCAGAGCTGACATCTCACTCTGCACATAAGTGGGAATCCAAGGAAATGCCCTGATCCACCCAAAAGCCCACCCACCCTTCCTTCCACTCCCCTTCGCGCTCCCTCTCCCTTCCAGCTTACACTCTTTCATAGAACAGAAGGAAGCCAGCAAAGAGATTATTGCCTGTGGAATGGCATAAAAAGCCACTTCCTTCTCTGGAATTTGCACACCTCTACACAGCCCCCAGCGTGAGCTTGAAAAAGAGCCTATGATTTATGATACGAAGTTGGCCAGGTGACCAGGCATCTTCCACTGCATTTTGACAATGCAAGTAAGAGAGCACATTTAATAAGGCAAGCAGCTGGAGAACTGCACAAGTTAGAAAAGCAGAGGTTTCCCTTCGGGTCCCGGGGAACTCACTGCCCTCAACCTCAGGGGAGGCGACAGCTTCCACACTAACAGACCCCAGTGACTCAATCCGGAAAGTGGGGACATAGCCAGGGAGGTGCTGGCAAATGGATAGGTACCAGAAAGGTAGACGGAGCCTTCAGCAGATAGGGAGGAAAGGGCTAGGAAAGGAGAAGCATGGACGACCCCAGGGGAGCCTCTAACACACTAGGCTCTCAAACCTAGGGTCTCTCCAAACACAGCCCCCAATTTCCTTGTCAATCCCATACAAGCAGTCAGAGTCCAGTAGTTCAAAATCCTCAATCTATCAGGCCATGTTTCAAGAAGGAAAAAGACAGGCTGCTTTAAATAAATAAAGTATGTCTCGTTACCTTTCCATAAAAGTCACTCATCTGTTCCAAAGGCACGTGGGACCCCTCGTACATTTCAATAACTTCTTCATCAGGGACAACACTGAGGCCTCTGGAAAAATCACAGGCGGTGCAGGTAAAGAGCTCGACTAGAACGAGCAATGTTTTTTAGCCGGCGGACAACTGCTAGAATCTTTCATTCAATGTGCAAGACACACTGTCACAAGGAGGTGAGATGCGCCACCAGAAGCTGCTATAAGGAACAGGCCAGCTGCTACGGGTGTTACTGGACTGCCACTCTACTGGTGACAAGAGCAGGAAGAACAGCAGACACGGCATGGCACCTCCTCTACGCCGGACATGAGTTCCGCAGTCATTCACTTAACCTCAGCAGTCCTGGGAGGCACTATTCTTCTTCCCATTTTCCTGCAGAGGCAACTGAGGCACCGAAGGGTCATGAACCTTGCCCCAGGAGAACATGGTGGGTCAGGACTGGATCCCAGACTGTGCTCTGGCTCATCAGCCACTAACCATGCTGCCTCCCTTGATAAGGTGCAAGGCCTCCTAAGGACTTGCTTTGGGCTGGGGTCGGTTTGTTTGTTTATGTTTTTAATACATTAGGGAGAGAAAGGCTGGGTGTATTTTCATCATCTTCCTGTCCTCTGATGCTCTACCCTAAGGTCAGTGATGAGGTAGAGAAAGTTATGCATGAGGCTCTGACAGATTAAATCCTATGATACAAGGTAGGAAGCCTGCGTACACGTCTAGGAGGGCTGACCCCAGAAGCTACGTGACAGTGGGGGCCAGTTTCCTCATCTGTAAAAAGCCAGGGTAACAGCCACCACCTGCCTGCCTCTGGGAGCTGCAGCAGAATCAGCAAACGAATCCAGCTCCTCCACACAGAAGGGAAGATGAATTTGGGGGTCCGAGTGGCCAGGATCTCAGCCCAGCCTCGGCCACCAGTTCTGGGAACAGGCGCTCTCACCTGGCGCTCCATGGTCTCTTATTTCCTCCCCTGGAACGGCCCGCTCTAGTGTTAGGAAGGGGACTGTCAAGTCTCTAGAGGCGAGGACACATGAGAGACAGACACCAGTGATGGGGAAACCACAGAATGAATGAGGGAAATGCCATGCAGTGCTACAAGGGGGACTTTACATAAGTCAGTAAGAATTTCAGGTACTAATACAAACAGATTCTTATCATACAAAATCACTGGGCCAATATTAAAATACATACAAAATATACTTTATGTTTAACATGAAATTTTAATTAAAAATATAATTTCAGTCTCTTTCTTATTACATTCTCCACCTTTGTGTTACTTTTGAAAGTATCCAAGGGGATTCATCAATATTTTGCTCCTAACTTAATTAACTTGTTACAACTACTGGCCATTGAAAACAAGAGGCATTGTACTTCCTTTATCTTCATGCCAGAAATCAGATAAGACACTGGTGCTAAGCCAGGTCAGGACATTTAGATAGTGACCCTGGAGAACCGCTCTTGCTTAAGTAGCAACAGTCAGGCATAGTCACCCTAAGGCCCTAACACTTAGAAAGAATATACAAAAAGAAGAATTCTGCTGGGTGAGTTATTTTTCTGCCCCCTCCCAAGGCCCTGCACTGGCTTCAGAAGCCACTGCTACCTCGAAGACACATTCACAGGCACGTGGCCAAGCAAGCTGCGTCTTTAGGCTCCACGCTACCAAATGTCAGCTCAAAGGAGGCAGGGAAATGAGTGAGCGGCAGCCAGTAGAATGCCGCAGGAGCAGCTCCCGCCCACGGAGCCCCGCCCAGACCCTCTGCAGGGGCCTCAGTCTGACTGCCGCCATTTGGGGGAGCAGCCCGAACCGTGCTGCCAACAGAAGGAAAGCCATGGTACGCGGCCCTTCCTGCTTCATGAGAGATACAAAGGTGGGGAGTACAGATCTGAACAAGTCTGTCTGGGGTTCGAATCGCAGCTCCCTAGTTACCAGGGGGATTACCTGGACAAATAAATTATACACTTCGGGTCTCAGTGCCATTTTTTTTTATGGGAAACACTAATAGTTCCTACCACCTGGTGTTACTAAGAAGATTAAGTTAGTTACGATCTACAGAGCAGTAATGGGTAGTACATGGGAGGCGCCATCAAAGTGTTGCTGGTGTGCCTGTGATGAAACAGCCTGAGCCTTTCACAAGGGGCCTATTAAGAACTTGAAAGCTGGGCACAACAGGGTGCTGCTGCGAGAGCCAGTCCACCTCCTGCCCTGCCCATCAGTGCTCGCTCCCATAGCCCACAACCCCAAACTGAACCTGAGGTAGGACCTGGGACTGCAGCACGTCTCAGATACATGTGAGGCTGAGGCGGGAGCACTCTGTCCAGCTGTTTGCACATTTTCATCCCTTCTGAGGGTTAAGGGACGAGAAGTGACAGTTTTGCAAGGCTATGCCTTTCCAAGCACACTCTAGTCTGCATGACAAGCTGCTCCTGAGACGGGTACTAGAACCATGCCCATTTTACAGAGGGGCAAACCAAGGCCCTGGGAGAGTCAAGAACCTGCTCAAGGCCACATACACATGAGCAGTGCCTGGGACCAGGTTCACACCCGGCCCACCACATCCCTTCTCAGGGCTGAGGCCACAGCAGCCTTCCCAAGACCTTATCTCCACTTCACTGCCTTGGCTGGCTCCCCCTGCCTAGCCCTGTTCATATGCCCTGACATAGTGGACAACTTATCTACAGAAAAAACAACACAACAATTAGGAGTCATAGCGTTGTGTGGACCAAAGATGGAGAGGGCGAAGAGGTCTCACCAGAAGTCAGCCCCAAAGGAAGGGTGAATGAGATTTCACGAAGCAGAGAGGAAGGGAAACTGCATCCTGGTGGAATGCCAGCATGACCAGATGCCAAGCAGTGAGAAAGGAGAACTCAGAGGAAAGGAATGTATCTGTTGTTTGTGCCTGCCTGGCATCCACTCCCTCTGAGGCTGGTTATAACTGCTGGAAGAGAAACTGCCCTTCTCCTCATGACCTGGAGGTGAGGAATGGAGGCTGGTGCTCCACGGGTCAGCACACAGAGAGGCCTGCCTGTGAACCAACCAGGGGAGGAAGACAGCCAAGAGATGGAAAGAGTTCTGACACCATCACTTTGGCCCCTGGAGCCAGACACACCTGCAACAAGCCCTGTTCCTGGTCTCCACCATCAGTGGGCCAGCACTGTGTTTTGTTCAAGCCAGTTTGAGTTGGGTTTCAGTCACTTGCAAGCAAGAGTCTTAACCAATCCCGTGAAGTAGCTGTTTATGGAAGAGGAGGGGCTATGGGTTTCAAGAAGGGTGATGGAAAGCCTAAGAAGTCTGGGCTCTATTCTCTAGACAGTGAGGAGCCATCCTGGATTTCAGAAGAGAAGAGGGGCCTGCTGATGGCAATCATTCATGTAAATCAGTGTAGCGGCAATGTCCAGGATGGACTGCACTGCCGAAAAGGGCAAGAGCCCAGGAAAGAAGGAATGGGTGACCAAGCCAGTGGGCTGACAGCAGAAACAGAGGTGGAAAAACAGATTCAAAAGACCTGCTGGGGGCTTCCAGTGAACCCTCAGACATTCAGAAAGGCCCAGAGCACAGACTCTGGAGCCAGACTGCTTGGGTCTGAATTCTACTTCTGTGTGGCCTTGGGCAAGTTATTTAACATCTTTGGCACTAAGAATAGTACCTATCTCATAAGGTTCTTCTGAGAATTATATGAGTGAACTCAAATAAAATCCTATGGCAGTGTCTGTCCCCTAGCAAGACTCAATATTTCTTAGTTGCTATTTGTTATTACCAATATGATTGTTTTTCTCATCACCACACCCTCTTCTCCCTCCTGAAACACCATTAAAAGGACACTAAGAGAGTAAAGTATAAACTGCTCAAAAGGTCAGAGGAAATGAGAGCAAAGACCTCCACAGATAAGACATTTCAACATGTTTTTGAAAGATAAACTGTAGATGAAATGGATGCACCTAACTCTGCAACACTGAGAACAGGGGCCTGAAAGGGACACAAATGAGAAGAACCGACTAACGGCCACAGATCCCCGGGGAGGCTCAGCCCTCTAGGCCCCAGGAAGCAACTGGAGGATATGCTCCAGCAAAATGGGGGGGGGG